GTGCCTGAGGCAGATTTCCCCTGAGTTTTACTCCCAGTCTTATTTTTCATTCGACCATACAAAATTCTAAGAAGTCAAAAGAACATTATTTGATTTGCATATTAATCCTAAAACATAATATCAATTGTTTTGTTTTCCTGAAAGGCTACTATAGCGACCCCACAGATTTAAATGGATATATTATAAAACAAGGAAGAATGAGACACCTAGAAATTAGCTATTTAACATAAACATTTAGAAAAAAAAAATCACCAAAAAACAAGGTTAAAAAAGCAGGAAGAAGGAAATAATAAAGATAAATACCAGAAGGCGGAACTTTGTAGGAGAAAAAAGCAATAAAATAAGCAAGCCAAAGGTGAGTCTAATCAAAGAATGAAAACAAAAATATATTGATTACAAGGAAATAAGAGAGCGTAACTGTAAGTAAAATAAGGAAACTTAAAAGATTTCAATTAAATTAGTACTTTTCTGGAGAAAAATCCCCACAAATTTAAATAAGCTAAAAGACCTTAAGAAGAAAACCTAAATAGACCAATAATCCCAAGTAAACATAGACCACATATAGTTTTACAGATGAATTTTTAAACTTTCAAGGAAAAACAACTTCCATGCTATAAAGTTTCATAAAAGAGAGAAAGCAGAAGACGGTCCTTTTTCATTTATGAAGGTGGTATAACTATGATACTGAGATGGGATACAGAACAAAAATAAAACTATATAACAATCTTGCTTATGAACATAAAACACAGTATTTCTAAATACAGTATGCAGTGCTGCATTAAAGTTAGCCAAATAAGAATTATCCAAGAAATGCAAGAAAGAATCATTAGTAAAATCTGTTAGATTAATACAGGTCCATGGCTCATAGAAAATATGATCATTTTTAACACATGCTTAATAGGCATTCTAATAAAATTCAATACCATTTCTGATAAAATACTTAATAATCTAGTCATAGAAGCTACTCTCTTATCATGATAAAACTTACTGACTTAACATTCAAAATTTAAAAATAGCAGTTTTCAAACTTTTTGATATTAGGTCTCCTTTACCACTCTTAAACATTACTGAGGTCTCCAGAGAGCTTTTCTGTATGTGAATTTTATCTACTGATATTTATCATAGCAGAAATTAAAACAACTTAGCATAAGTAAGATTTTAATTAAAATGTTTCCCCACCAAACCTTTCCCCACCAAAAATTAGTGAGACTAGAAGCATTGTTTTACTTTTTTTTTTTCCCTTTCAAATTTCGTTATTAACTGGCTTATTAGAAGATAAACTAGCTTCTCCTATCTTCTGCTTCTGCATTCACTCTGCTGAAATATATTCTGGTGGAAGAAAATCCAGCCTCCCACAGATTTATAGCTGGAGGAGGTAAAAATATTTTGAAAACTTTCAGATCATTCTTTTCAGATATTTGTGGATATTCCACTTTGTACTACACCAAACCTCAACAAGTGGTAGTTTCTTAAAGGCAAGTTGCAACGTGGAATCTAAAACTGTAATAATGAACTGCATGAACTCTGTTACATTAAGATCCGTCTGTTTTGCACTTTGAACAAATCTTTCCCCATGCATGATTCCGTAATGTGCATCAGTTGTTTGGAAAAAATGCCATTCCTTAAGACAACCAGTACGCAGAAGTGCTTTGTGCTTACCTTCCACTTTGTCAAATAGAATGATAAAAACACAAGGATGCAAGGGTCAAGATTCCCTGAGGACATTAAGTGAAAGCAGCTTTTTTGTTTTTTAAACTCCAGGTGGGCGGCAATGAAGAATGACTGGTCCAGTCACTGTCCTGAGTCACGCTATTGCCTTGGCAGTACAAACGTGAGCACAATGAAGACAGATAATACCTTAG